TGTTTGAAGCGAAATCCCAAACAAACCAAGCTAGCTCACTCCTCCCTCCCGTTTCGTGCATTGTGAAAAAAACGCACATTTCTTAAAATGACAAAAACACACTATTTTCAGATTGATGGTCTACCTCAATGATGGCTCATGCTGTGAACTGTAAAATGTTGTATATAAAATGCAGTCAAGCCATGTCTTTTCATATCATACAGCTAGTTTTGCTGGTGCTTCACTGGAAGCATCAGTATGATGAAACGTACCAGAATCAGTCATATAGCTACAGATGTAACATTATGGGGAAAACTCATGGTAACAACAGCTATCTGGAATAATATTATTACAGCTTATTATTATTATTATTATTATTCGGCTAAAGTTAGTCCTGAACGTAGGCTAGTGTTATTGCTAATACTAGGCTACAATATTATGGCTACACATCAAAGTAACCTCGGCCTCCGATTTAAAAATTTTCTATTCTTTGAGTTCTCTCGACCACTCAAAAACCTTCCCGATTATTATTCGTTTCTTTGACGAAAAACAACGGTATTCCCTCGCCCTTATCCTCCTCCTCTTCTTGGGGATTGCCTCTTCCATGTTAAATGTATCTGGTCTGTTGATAGAAAAGGGTTGATAGACGCTGGCTTGTTCTTCAGCTCCGACTTTGCGTGCAGGCGCCGTGAACGAGCACAAAAACAAACAACACCCCCCCGATGGCCAAATAAATCATCAGATGTTGTGAATAAATGTTTTATGAAGATATTAATTGTAAAGAAACATGTATGCATGAAAATGTAAAAAAAGCCCTCCAGCGATATAACAAACCTGCAGCTACTGCATGTGTGGCTTTAAGCATCTTATTTTTGTCTTCCTCTTTAAATATACACTACTAATATATTTTGACTCTTACTTTCTCACACACACACTTAAACATGCTGTCTGCATAGGAATTGCAGTCAAGACCAGATAGCACAGTGACTAGTCAGGTGACGGCAGTGAAGAGGTCAGTGTCTGCCACTTGAAAGCTCCAAATGAGTTGAAAGGTCAGCTGATCAATAATGGTGCTTTCTAGCAGTCGAGGAACAACCAAGGTCTTCATCAGAGAAATGATTTGCATTGGCTTGCACTTGTGCTTATTTCTCCAGTTTCCTTAGATAACGAATTATGACGCTTATTCACTGCAGCCTTTTACCTATGTAGGTTATAAAATCAACACATCCAACATAACATAAAAATAATGTTTTCTATTGAAAGATGATAGGTTTTTTTTTATTTTTGGTGTGCATTATTGAGAGATCATCTGATCATTACTAAACGTCCAGAACAAGGCATCACTGTTGCGACAGTGTTTCCATTACACTCTTGTATTATATGACATAATCGACAATTTAAAAAGTAATAAGATAGTTTAATGCCCTAAAAGAGACAGCAGAAAATGGATCCCTTTTACAAAAAAGGACAAGAAAAAAAAAAACCCTTCCTGTTGCCGTATGACCTATTTGTCCTCGCGCATGTTCTTTTTCTTTCAATGACAATCCAGTTCTGTAATAGTGTTTTACTGTAAATAGATTAAACATTTAATGTAGGAAGTGAGATGCACCACTGATCTCCTTTTAAGGCCATGGCCATGAAGATTGGTCACTCTAAAGCTTCCTGCTGACTGCTGAGTACTGTCAACATACTTGCAAAACTGGCCTGCTCAGACATCTTGATATCCTCGTGCTGACCATTTAACCAGAGCCGGAAAGTAAAGAGGGAGTTTGCGTGCCCTGTTCATTTAAATTATTATAACTCTACTTAAAAGTTTTAGTCCACACACCAATAACAATTCGGTCATTATTTACTCACCCTCATGTAGTTCCAAGCCCATACAACTTTTTTTTTATTAATCTTCAGAACACAAACAAAGATATTTTTAAAGTAAATAACATTTAAGAAATGTCTGTGTGTCTATTGAAAGCTCCAAAAAGGTCATTAATGCAGCATAAGACTCTAGTAAATATTGTCAGTTCTGCAAAGCCCTCTAATGTGCTTTCAGGAGAGAATCATACCTGTTCACGGGAGATTATTAAATGTTGTCCAGTTTTGTGTGCAGTATTCCTCTTCTACGGAAGAGGATTAGGGCCAAGCAATAATAAAAAATAAAACCATCTCGAGATTAAAGTCATTATAATGCGAGATTAAACTCGTTAAATTTCGAGGAAAAAGTCGAAATACAATCTTGAGAATAAACTCATTAAATATCGAGAATAAAGTCATTGTGTTTCGAGAATAAAACCCCGTTAAATTTCGAGAGAAAAGTCGAAATACAATCTTGAGAAATAAACTAATTAAATATCGAGAACAGTCATTGTGTTTTGAGAAAAAAAACCTGTTAAATTTCAAGAAAAAAGTCAAAATACAATCTTGAGAATAAACTCATTAAATATCGAGAATAAAGTTGAAAAAAAAAGAAATGAAATGTAGACAATAACACATTTGATCTGTGTTCATTGCATAGCCTACTGATAGAGGACATGGCAGACATGGATCACTCAAGCTATATTTTAGACTTTAGCCTATCTTATATAGTCTATAGACTTTCAACTATATCTACTATATCTATAGACTATCAACAATCTTTAGACTATAGACTATCAACTTTAGCAGACATTGGGGACCGAAAATGATAGTGTGGCAGCAATACAGTACAAAGGTTTTTACAAAAGTAACCATGGAGACAGTTTCTCGAAACATGACTTCTTCATATTGAATGAGTTTATTCTCAAGATTATATTTCGACTTTATTCTCAAGATTGTGTTTTGACTTTTTTCTCGAAATTTAACGAGTTTAATCTCGCATTATAATGACTTTAATCTCGAGATGGTTTTATTTATTTTTTTTATTATTGCTTGGCCCTAATCCTCTTCCGTACTCTTCTTAAAAATACATTTAAAAAATCTGTGAAATTTATGGTAAAAAAAAAAACCGTAGCAACATTTTACAGATTTAAATCAAATGTACAGTAATTTTTTTTTCTGATATAGTCATGTTAATATACCAACCTATACTAATATCTGATTTGTAACTCTATAATACACTGACAGCCACCAAAAACAGGTGGTGATAAGAAAATCACACGATGAACCAAAGATCACCACAAGCAGCTTTCTACACTCTTAACCCGAATTAGTTGAGTTTACTCGCAAATCGCGTGGAAACCCGTTGCCTTAAACCACTTTAGTTTTTACACATGCTGAAACTAAACATGTTAAGTTGTATTAACATGGAACCCTAACCTTTTACACAAGCTGAAACTAAACATGTTAAGTTGTATTAACATGGAACCCTAACCTTTTACACAAGCTGAAACTAAACATGTTGAGTTGTATTAACATATGTATTAACCTTTTTTAGATTAATTATATGTTAATTTGATTAAGATCCATTCAAAAAATGGATATCACAATCTTCTCAACCTTATATGAGTCAAATATTACACCATCCTGGTGTTGATAGAACACCTTTTTACAAATAAAAACACTAAAGGAGTTACCAGATTTTCTTATTTGGGTTCTGCATTACCTACTTTAAAGAACTGTAAAATAAACTGACAAATCATTTAATCTGAAAAGAATAAATTCACTTTGAAATAAACACATCACTGTATATCACTCTATCTAAACTTTATTTCAACCTAAGTCTGGGATCATAGTAGAATTATGTATTCATTGTAAAGTTAAAAAATAAAGACAAAATGCAAACAGTTGTTTTAACAAACTCATTTTTTTATTAACAAACAAGTCCCTTTACATCATAGGTTAACTTTTAAAATAAATGAAGGCACAATATAGGAATTTCTGTCATCGGAATTATATGAAAGTAGCTTATCAAATGGTCTGTAATAGTTCAAGTCCTGTACATGTCAGTGAATGTAAGTCCTGTGTCAGTTAAGTTGATTCAGTACCTTTGACTTTGCAACAGTACAGCAGTGCTCGAGTCAACAACGTTCAGCAGATGAAAAACAGTTGCAGGATATGAGTGGATCAGTTGTGTCCAGTTGCCAACAGTAAAGTTCAGTGCATGCATGGTAGTTTCACAGAGCAGGAAAGACTGTGCAGATCCAACTTTTTTAAAAAATCCTGGAGTACTGGTTCCCTAGACAACACAAAGCCAGACCAATTACAATCAATACATTTGTGTTTTAAAAATACAGCAAGTTTATGGTGGAAAAAGTTAAATCATCTGAGACTTTCATGACTCAAACAAGAAACTACTTTGGTTAGATTAAGACTTGAATTTACTGATTTCCAAGTGAATCAAATATTTAATTCATTCAAAAAATTTAATTCTGTCATTAATTATTCTGTCATTATTATTATCCTCATGTTGTTCTAAATCAGTAAGAGTTTCTTCATCTTTGGAACACTTAATTTTAATGAAATACAAGAGATTTCTGTCCCTCATCAGCCTATTCAACTACCACTTCCAAAGCCACGGAAAGGTAAAAAGGAAATCGCAAGTAATCCATGTAACTACATGTGACCTTTTTTTACGACAATTTTAACTTGAATTTATTTACAAAATATTAATCTTCAATGCACATTCACGCAACAACATCTGCTCTTGCATCAACAACATGCACGAGTTGTAAAGTTCTCATGAACGCATTTTGGAAATATTTTAATATTTAATAGTTGGAAATATAATTCATATTTTATAAATTAAGCAAACACAGCACTTGAGAAGTTTAATAAAGTGTATGTTAAACCACTGGAGTCGCATGGAGTACTTTAATGATGTACCTTTATATCTTTCTGGGGCTTGAAAGTGGTAGTTGCATAGACTGTCAATGGAGGGACAGAAAGATCTCAGATTTAATTAAAAATATCTTAATTTGTGTTGTGAAGATGAAAGTCTTACATGTTTGGAACGACATGAGGTTGAGTAATTAATGACAGAATTTCTATTTGTGGGTGAACTAACCCTTTAAGAATAAATTAAGACATGCACCTTAAGAAATCTCAATAAATAGTCAGCCGCCGGAAGAATCTTCGTTCCCTTCTTGAGGCTTTGTGATCTTCAGGGCAGGTGATGGACAGAGATTTCCCAATCAGTGGGGTCTAAAATTACACAGGAAGAAAACATCTACCTGTCAAATCATAACAACAATTGGTTTGAAAACTCATTTTAAGTGTGTATATATATATATATATATATATATATATATATATATATATATATATATATATACACACACACACACACACACACACAAATTGGATGAATTCAAAATAAGTGTTAAGAAATACAGAATATCTAGTTCACAAATTGCTAGTTATCCATTCTCTCATATGTTATCTGTAAAATCTTACCATCATCAGGTTCTAGTCTGTTCAGGTTTTTTTAACACCAAGCCTGGTACCCTTAGCCACTTGGTGCATCATAGAAATGCTCCTAGCAAACACGAATAGCGAAAATAAATACATTTAAACATGAAAGCATATCCAAACATCAAGCAAAAGTTAATCTAATAAGTAGATTTTGCATAAATATTTAATCTGAAAGAATTACTTACACATTCTAAGAAAATAGGTCCTCCAAATAAGGAAATAAAGTGCATTGTTGGTCCGCAGTTTGTGGAGTTGTTCTGTTTGACAAACGAGAGTAAAAGATAGTTTGATGATAAATACAAACTTCATAATTTGCACATCACAAATATTGTCATTAAACAATATAACATTATAAAACACGTATTGTAAATGAGTTAAAACACTTAACAACTTACTCGGTGTTTTCACTGCACTGTATCATGATGAGTCAAAGAAGATGTAACGTTAGCTGCTAACGCTAGCGTTAGGACCTATGTGAGAAAGATTGAGGCGCGCAAATCACATAAATATCGTTACAAAACAATATAATGCCATGCAATACATGTTGGAAATTAGGTTAAAAAACACTTACTTTCGGTGTTTTCCCTGTTAACGTTACAAGCAAATCTCCTCATCAGCTCCGTATTGAGTTGAAGAAGAAGCCTTTGAGAAAAGTTTTGGCTCGTTTAAGCGTGCAGAGCATTTAAATATCGCTATAAATTAATATATTATAAAATACATTGTAAATTAGATAAAACACTTACTTTCGTCGTTTCCCTGTTAAAAAGCAAACCTCATCCGTGTCTGGTCTGGTCTGCTCTGCATCGCGCGTCAATGGAAATGCCCCAATGAGAGCGGTTTAGCCGTACACAGCACGTATATTGTTATAAAAACGCATACCGGTAAGTTAAGTTATATGATAAAACACTATATGCGTTTCCCTCCTCATATGCCCATCACGAGTCAAAGAAAATGGCGTGTGTGAAAAAAAATTCCCCTTGGACGTTAGACTAACTAGCCCCTCCCGTTCCTTAAACTTGAACTTTAGGAAACTAAACATACCAAGTTATCTCTACTAAACCTGATTAGTGCAATACATTTTTCAGCTAAATAGTACAAACAACTAATGTTGTTTAGTAATGATAGCAGGTTTTTACAAAACATAAAAGAATAAGTAATGATCACTCGTAAGGTTAAGTAGAAACAAAATCTGGGTTTACAGTGTACAAGTTGTGAAGGTAAATACTAGTAAATTGAAGGTTTACAGTGTCATTCACACAAATACTAAAAACCATCATGGTAAGACACGACATTAAAAATTGCAATAAACATTTATTTAAAGCTACACTGTGTGATTTTACCCCCATCTAGCAGTGAAAATGTATATGACCACACAGTGAATATTAGTTTCTGTTCCTCTCAATTCCGATTTCGTTTTAACTCCTACGGTGGCCAATGTAGTCCAAGATTAACATGGCTTCGACCTAGTGTTAACTCAAACGTATACGCGAAAGGCGAAGCTTGAATTAACGGGTATGTCCCTCTTTGGTTAATGTACTTTCAAGAAGGAGGGGCAACATGGCGACCGACATTAGAACCCCTTACCCGTATGTATTTTCAATGGCATATTATACTCACGAGAATACTTTATTACTTGAACGAAGTAAATATGCATTAATGAGCACATACATTTTTGAAAGAACTAAATGTTTTTAGCTAAGAATAAACTAAAAGAGTTACACAGTGTGGCTTTAACAACATTAAATGTAACATAAAACCCCATAACTGATTAGAAAATTAAGAAGCCGCCGTTATTTCAAGAAAATACATCTAATGGAAAGTGTCACTCAGGGAATTCTGGGAATGTCAGTTTACGGGTTTTCATTGTAAATTATACAATGACTTGTTCTTTACACAGAAACTGTATTTTACTGTAAAATTGTAATAAATGTTAGATCTATTATATTTATTCTGTAAGGAAACTTTTATGGTCTTTTACTGTTAAAATCACGATAATTTCTTTACAGTGTGCAGTGCAAGACATTCTTGAGCAAACATTGTAGAGCTATGGTATGCAGAGGTGAAGATATTTTGTAAATAGAGACTTTACAAATTTACAAATTTAAAGCTGGAAATAATAATAATAAAGTTTTAGGATTCTGAAATAAGAAACAAAGAAATGTAACAATGTGTTAATTGTTAAAATAATTAAATAAAATCTATTTGAGATTCTTCACCACTTTTACATCAATAAGCAATTTTGTACAATCTGCAAAAAAAAAAAGAAAAAAAGAAAAAAAAATCTTTGCTTCCAATGAAACATGATTCTCTTTGGAAGATTATCAACTCATGCTGGATAATATGATTCTTCAGGATTTGCTCAAACTTGTGAAGTTCATGCTGCTTATTAAAACAAAGGATGAACATACAGTATCAAATACAAAAAAATGGGATGTTTTCTAGTTATTTTTGGTATAATTTGAGAAAAAGTATCAATATAATCATTTAGTAGTCTCAAAATTTTGGAACCACTCTGCTTAGTCGCAGATGAGCCAGTAAGCCCTTCAGTTCACAACAAAATCACCAAAAATGTTTTTTTTTTAATGAACCTTATATGTGTGCTACACTATAGTCTGCAAAAAAACCCAGGAAACAGATTTAATTTGGCTTCCAAATATAACATGGCAGCAATTATTCCTCTGTGTATTACAAAAAAAGTCCTATATCAACAGTGTTACTTTTTTTGTGTTGAAAGTCAACATCGTTTGAGTTTATTGGTGTGGATGTTTCTCAGATATTTGGCCTGGAATTATGACATCAGCGTGTGTCATTGGCGGGTGAATTAGTGTGGTTATTTGTGATGACTGTGCACTGCAAAAGAACCTTTTTTTTCTTAGAGGGCAAACAAAGTTGAAGTTAGCTGGGTCAGAACAAGGTGCCTCATGTTACTGGCAATACAAGGGTCATGGTGGCACGGCAAACGTTTCTGTTATTTGCCATTTAAACATTCATTGGCCTTTGGGATATGAGTTTGTTCTACATTTTTGCCTGGGGTGGTTGTTTTAAACCTGGCCAGTGAAACAGCTTAAAGTTAATTTATAATCTACACTCCTTTTAGTGTTGTTTAATCAACACTATCTCTATATGGAGATTGCTTTCGTACAGGGGTCTTTGTAGCATGTCCTATAAAGAATTAGTCACTCTGTTTGGTTTGTTACCCACCTTAACTTTTAACATTTTATAAATACATTTAGTCTGAAGAAAATGCAGTCATCTGTAGAATGTTTCTCAAAATTTCCTCACACTCTGCCTTTTTCTCTTTTAACTAATACCATCTCAGTGTTGCGTCTAAACAGACACCATTGCCATTATTTGTACTATGGTGACTAGGAAAGAAATGGCATGTCTTTTTTTAAGGCAAGTTTGGAAATTCTCAAAAACCGTTATGTTGCGGTGATCCACTCTAAAGTCAATGATGAGTCCTTCTGGATGGAACCATCATAAACATTGTTTGTGCTAAGAAACTGAATGCTACAGTACTACACTATAATATATAAGCTGAGGTTATGAAGGGTATTATACAGCATGCATGTGTATTTCAACAACCAATCTTTGTGCTGATAGATATGTCACAGTCCCTTGAGCGAATAGACTGTCTGTGGCGAGATGCAGACAGGATCTGTACATGGCAGATCTACTGCGGCTGAACAGGACGCCAAAAGTCATAAAACAGTCATATAGATAAAAACTGAGCTGGAGGTCCAAGAGCAGAGTGAGGCTTGAACCTCCCTTTGGCTTGTTTAATATGTCATTGTTGTATATAAATATGAAATTGTTATCATTGTTTCAGCTTTTGGGAAGCAATGAAAATTACTGCTTTGCTCAAGTGCACTTGCTGTTGATTTTTATAAAAGTAGTTCACCCAAAAAGAAAAAATCCTATCATTGTTTACTCATTATATCGTAAACCCATATGAGGTTGTTTCCTCCCATGGAACACAAAAGATGAATTTCCAAAGAATACTTTGACAAAGAGAGAGAGTACATGGTTGTTAGATTGCAAATATTAAATCAATGGGCAGAAAATCCTTTTAACAAAAAAACTCTTATTGGGGGATTTAAACACTTGACATCAATCGCAAACTTTTTCTTTTTTTTTCAACAAAAAGTTCTTATTTTTTACACTGCTTGTAGTCTCGTCTTTTTTGTCAAGGATATAGAGTGCCGAAGTTACGACGTCACTCTGTAGGCCAAAACGCGGAAGTAAGTTAGCATTTTAGCATTACGGTTCCCTCGCTCTAAAGCCTATGGAATTTTTGAATGGGTTTTTGCTAAATCGCATGAAATAAGGTCTGTGGTGAACAGAGCCTCTAAATATTTTCACGTTTTGATCTATGACATAGAACACACATTTATAACCTGCTTGTGGTTTTTTAAACTTTATTGTGTCTGATTGTGTTTTTTAAAATCTTTATATAGGCTTCAAATTGTATACATTTTGGATTACCTTGTAAAGATTATCTTGCTAGACAAAACGTGTAAGGGTCATAACCCTTTGTTAAACACAGATCTTATTTTTTGCGATTTTCCAAAAGTCTATGGGGAAAATGCATTGCTTTTCAACCGAGGGAACCCATGCGCCGCTAGCTTCCGGGTTGTCCTACAAAGTGACGTCATCACTTCGGCACTCTATTGAATGTTGAAATAGTCACAATTATTGTTTAAAAGTACAGTGTGTGATTTTTAGCGACATCTAGCGGTTCGGTTGTGAGCTTGCACTACGGGCTCAGCCCACTCCTCAACCCTCCCTTTCGAAGAAACTACGGTGGCTAAAACGGGACAAACATCTTGTCACCTGAGACAGCAGAGAATAGCCAGAGTAAGCCACGAGTGTGTAATATTGTCAGTGTTTCTGTACCACAGTCCAAAAAAAAGCCATAGTCGGGTGAGGGTCTTAATATATAATATAATAATGATTGTCTCACAAACGTAACCAGCACATTTCTCCCCACATAGCAAACCCATAATACAGTGAAGGAGAAGAACCACATGAAACTGTGCAGCTATACATTTTTTCTAACAGGGTAGTAAAAGTTTAGCTGGCTTATATGATAGGGGTGCACGATTCAGAAAATGTCACAATTCGATTCGATACCGATTTTTTTTGTCTCGAGATTCGATTCAAAATCGATTTTCGATTCAAAAACGATTCTCGATTCAAAAACGCAGGTCTATATAAATGTAGTTTACTTTTTCCTATGTGATTGATTGCAGTAGCCTAGACATAATTTAAAAGAAAAG